ATCTTGGACAAGCTTATCGATCACGGCGCTCCACTACTTCATCTCTCTCAAAGTTTCGACCCAGCACGCAAAAGTTTCAAGAGAACGCATGCTCTTTCTAGGATACGAGACAAGTAAGTCTTTGTTTGACATGCGACCCTTCGATGTCTAACGCGATGCAGCCACGGCTCGGGCTTGATCATCTTCCATCGTGCCGTCCTGCTGAGACTACTGTTCGACGCACTACCAGATGAAGCCAAGGCTCAGTATTTTGTCAATAAGAGAGTCACGGGTATTGACATCTCTCCTTCTGGCACAACTGCACACTGTGACGATGGATCGTTGTACACTGGGTCCCTAATCATTGGTGCTGATGGTGTCCACTCCAGGATCAGCACCATCATACGGGGTCTCAGGCTCGACCTTCTGCAGACTGTGAGCGGCCAAAATGCACTCGATTCTGCCAATGATATCACAAGCAACGCAGAGGACCCTTTCCCGGCCACTTACAAATGTTTATGGGGTTCATTCAAGCGAGAGACGGACATTGGCGAGAGTTATGAGATACAGGGTCACAATCGATCAGCCATGTACCTGACAGGCAAGGAAAAGGCCTGGATTTTCTTGTATGAAAGGCTCCCGGTGACATCAACAAAGAAGGTAGCATACAGCCCCGAAGATGCAAACGCGTTTGCGCAAAGCTTCGGCGATTGGCACGTTCATGAGAAGCTCAATATCAGCGACGTCATGAACAAACCAACTTTCGTCTCGGGGATGAATAACCTTGGAGAAGGTGTCGCTGCGGCAGAAACCTGGAGTTTTGCCGGCCGAGTCGCCCTCGTAGGGGATGCGTGCCATCGATTCACCCCCAACGCTGGGCTTGGACTCAATGCGGGTATACAAGATGTTGTCTCCTTGGTGAATCATCTTCACGTCCTTTCTGCGCAAACCCGACGTGGCTTGTTCGACGACACGTTGTTTGTGAACACGTTGGAGAGATACCAAGAGGAAAGGCGCGAGCCGGTGACAAGAGACTACGCTGTGGCGTCACAGTCGACGCGGCTGCAAGCATGGGCGACTTGGCGCGATTATCTGTTGGCACGTTGGTTCTATCCATTTGAGTTCGTGAAGAACTACCTGACGGATTACGGGACGGCTACCAGCTTCAAACGTGGACTTGTCTTGGACTTCATTGAATCTGACGAGGTGCTGCATGGCAAAGTCCCCTGGGACCGTGCCCTCGTTCGGGGTGCACTGGCCATTAAGACGAGCTAATGGCATGTAGCTACTGA